CTATGGAGGCCATGTTTTAAATGGTTTAGGAGGCTTAATTTAAGCAATAGCAGTCAAAGATCAAGCATACATGAATATGCTGTTATTGGTTTTTGCTTTTAAAAATGTATTGTTCAATAAACTTTTGACATATAGCCTTTTTTGCACCAGAAGCAGAAATACAAGCTTACAACTGCAATTATTTAAAATTCGACTTGATCCCCTCTAGCGTTTGGGAAAGTTAGAAACAGATGCAATATTCTGGTGAAAGAGGGTTTGGGAACAGTGGATAATTAGACCATGTCCCATAGACATAATTCAATTGATAAAGGATTTTGTCCATATATATATAACAGGTAGATAATTTTATTTACAATTCAATAGACGTTTGTGATCAGAGAAGGAGAATAAAATTTGTTAGAATTAAGGAATTTCTCTGCAGTACAGGATAAGGACACAAGAGAGGCAAATTTGAGGTGCTATGGCTACCCCAACCCAAAACTGTTACTGTTGGAAGAATGTGACACATTTACATAGGCAATTTCCATTATAAATGTGGAGGAAAAAATTTAAAATTAATAATCTGACAACACAAGTGTAACAAAAATTTAACCACAGGAAGTACAGTTTTATAAACTGAAAGGGCGTACAGGTTTTAAAAATTTATGCTAAAGATAGCAGACAAGAGGAAATATTACTTGACTCCTAAGCTTCCCCTGGTTAAGCAATAGTAAGTATACAGGACTCCATTGTGATGCCCTTCAGACAGAATGGCCTTCAACATTTACGGGCCAGGAAGTGTGATCACTTTGGTAAAGATTCAGAGTGTAGCTGCAGAACCATACTTCAGAAATCAGCGGCAAGTATCAGCAGAAACAGTATTGGAACTAAGTATTCTCTCAATCAACATACCTTACTGAAAAGAACATAGGACTCTTAAATGTCTTAAATGACTCTTAAAGAACTGACTATTCACTCCTTTCCTGCTTAAAGTGCACCACGTAGAGTCATAGAGATGTACAGCATGCAAATAGAGCCTTCGGTCCAACTCATCCATGCTGACCAGATATCATTAATTAATCTAATCCCACCTGCCAGCATTTGGCCCATATCCCTCCCAACCCTTCATCTTCTTACCTTCTCACCATTTTCCTCAATCCCTGTCATTTCCACAAGATCACAAAATAGCTTTGGTTGAAACACCCTTTAGTTCATTTGTCATCATTCCAACACAGACATCCAGCTTTTTTCAAACAATCCTTTAAATGCATGTAGCAGCTCCTTGAACTTACTTAAGAGTTTACCTTTGTGAAGTCATCACGTTAGATCAAGAAAGGTTTAACATGTTTTTTTTGGAAAAGGCTATACTCAAAATGAATGTAACAGTGATTATTTTTTAATCCTTTCTCACTGCTGTAAATGTAAGCCTGAAATAAAATGCTGCTCATGAAGTAAAACATGGAATAATTTTTACAAATCGGATTTCACAGGAGTACTTTTTCTGTGGGATTTCTTCTCTAATTCAATTTGTTTTTAACCATATACTTTTCTCCCTATTAAAACTTTTTACTTTGTTTATGATTACTGTGAAGGATTTCCATTTGAGAGTGACATGGACAAAGAGCGTGAGTTAGGTAGCTTATTTAGTTTATTCCAGTCGATTAAACTCTGATGCACAAAGCCTGAAAAAGATCAGCTTATTATGCTAATATACAATTGTTCCCCTTCCTTTAATTTAAATTTAGTGGAAGTAAATTACATCACCCACTGATGAGCACAGTTAATTGCTTTATGTGTACATAGCTATAAAGCTGCTTTCCCTAGACCAGGTGTCACCAGCAGACAATGAGTAGCTTTGAAAGGACAGCATCCCTCTGGTTCTGCAGTACAGTCTTACATTGGGAGCTGCATCTTACAGCACACCTTCAGGAATATTTCTGGTATAAGGTGGTAAGAGTCCTGGCTATGGCTTCCCGTACTCTTAACCATTCCCTACAATATGGTTTGATGGTAAGATGCCCACTAGGCCACCCACCCTTTAGCCCATTGGCACACTGAAGCAATCAATTATCTTGCCTGTATGCTCTCAATCTGCCTCCATAATGTACTAGACACTGAAAGGTGTCTGTCTTTGCACCAACTTTAATAAAAGAGCGAGAAGGAGGAGGATTGATGTCCCTGTGCATCATGGACAATCTCCCAACAATTCTGTCCACCCATGTATTCCCCCTTTAGCTTCAAAAGCTCTCACATTCTCCCCTAGTCTCAATGCCAAAACATAACTCTCTCTACAATCTATGTCCTCTTAGTCCTGAAGACTGCTTACAATGACAGGTAGAGCTGCTGGACATTGTGATTGGCCGATCAGCTTCTCTTACGGGTAGGATGTCATCTTACTGACAGTTGGAAGTTCCACTCTCACCTCTACCATGAATGTGTTGTTAGAACTACATTATACATTTTGTGAAGAAGTTAACCTATCTTTGAAATAAATACTAAAATGTCTTACCAAATGGCTCCCAAAAAACAGATGACTTCTCTTGAGGATTCGACTGCAGCCAAAGGAAACACTCAGGCAGTGTTATCTTAAGAATCGATCATAATGGGTTATTAAATAATGCAAGGATTCCAGAATGGTAAGTTGAATCTTAAAAGGTGTGAAGATTCAGAGCTTTTGTAATGTTGAACAGAGGACAGGAAAAAAGGCATGACAAGGAATTCCAGAATAACTGACTTTGCTTTTTTGCACAATGATTCATCAAAGTTAACATCTGCAGCCATTTTCTTTGATTGTGATAAAATGTGGCTAAGGATAGAAGTTTAGAGGAAAAACATCTGATTCCCATTAGAGAGACATCTTGAAAATTCAACTGCTTCTCAATGAAGTGACAGGCAAAGGCATCCAGGGCGAGACTAAAACTTCCTAAAGGACTGCTGTACTAAACCAGACTACTGAGAGCTGCAATCTGCAATGCCATAAAAGTGAAACAAAGGGTCCTTCACTCACTCCCAGAACCAGTTCTGCTTATTGAATCCATCTATGAGAACAACCTATTTGACTGTGGAGAGCACTGCAGCTGTGCAATCAGACATCAAGTTTCAACCCCTTCACTTCAGAAAGAGGATCTTCAAGCAATTTAGACCTGCAGTGATGCTGGATATTGATTTTATTTTCATCTTCATGTGTAAACTTTATCCCCACTTTAAGTCTATATATATATTTATGACATATATATTTGTTAATCTAGTATCTTTACAATTTTTACCTAAATAGCTCCCATCAATAGTCGTGTAGTAAACCTACATTTTAATCTTGCTTGCAATGTAAACCTTTGCTGCTGGTTGTTTTTTAAATTGAATCATTCAAATGGGGCTACATATGGACCACACTGAGGAAATTACCTGTTATCTGGTTGTGACACTTTGTTGAGGTCGCCTACAGTACATGTGGTAGACCTCTTTAAAACTGGCTGATTTATGACTGACCCTTTTTGTGAGAGAACAGCAAGCAGTATATGTCCTCTTTTCCCTCCTGCCCCCGTGAAGTTCTGTCCTGCGGCCAAGACACAAGTCTAAAGCCTTCAAGTAGCATACAAGCTTAAGTCGAGTATAGTTTCATCCTAATGCTTAGGAAGTATAAAGGATTGAGTGAAGGGCTGATTTTACATTGGTGACATCAAACAGAATAAAAGTATGGGGGCTTGGGGGTGGTTGCAGGGTTTATGATTAACATTGCACGCAATCCCATCTTTTCCCTGCTAGGTTAAAAAGATGCAGAGTGTCTCTTGAAGAAGTGTTGAAGAAGCAAAATTGAATCTGCAATTACATGGTATCTTAAGATGTCTCACACAGAAAATTATTTTCAAGTGCAGTGATTCCTGTCATGGCAAATACAGCAACCAGTTTGCATACTGTGAGGGATGAATATCCACTTTAGCATTTTTGGCACAATTTGAGTAGCACTGCAGGAAAATCTCCTGTTCTGCTTCTCTCGGTCTTTATACTGTTCACTCAGCTCCAGCAGGCAGAGGGAGACTGCTAGCAACTGTGCAACACTTCAGTTGATATCGCTGTTAGGTAAAAGCATCAGTAATAGCACACTAAGTACCAATCTGCTGTCAATGTCATTTTTGGACCTAAGTCTCTTATGATCAAAGATTACACTACAATGACAATAATTTTATCAATTCTCAAATAAAACAACAACTTACTCATCATGTACTTTTTGGTAACTTTCCTTCCAACGTATGGTAGATGTTTCTCAATCACTGACTTGTTTTGCAGTTGCACCTCTTGCCAAAGTTCAATAATTATTTTTGAAAGATTTGATATCTTTTGCTAATTTTTTTGGCGAGGAGATTTTTGGCACAAAGCATTAGAACTGAATGATTCCAGGTCAGGTGCAGGTCAGATTAAATACAAAGTGCATCACATTACTCCCCAACAATTTTAACCCCAAACTGAGCATTGTGCCCACTAGTGCGGTATTTCAATTTCCTGTGATAACCATCCTATTGGGCTCTTTAAATGGCAATGTCAATTTTTGATATAATTATACTAAATGCAGGTATAGATGTTGTAAACTATCACAGGTGTCAGCATAAGAGTATTCCTTCTGATCGAATTGTGTTAAAAACTAAACCCCAGATTGGAAATACAGAACTTATTCCCTATATTTATCCTTGCACAGTTCAAGAGTTATCACTGTGCATATCTCCCTGAACCACTAAGTTATTCAAGTGCATTTTTAGATTGTAAAAATTCTGAAAGTTAAACTTTCAGCATTTATCCTTTCTAATAGTTGTCAAAAATGCAGCCGACAGCATTGCCAGCACAATGTCAGGACTGGCAAAAAAGTCTAATCTATTTAGAACATCTCTAAAAAGATTTACATTTTTAAAAAATGTAACATCAAACAAAAAGGGAAATTTTACATAAAACATTTTGAATTATAAATTTTAAAGATGAAATTTTTATGAAAACATTGAAGCAAGTTTGGTTAGAAAATGACACTACCCCTTCAAAACACTTTTTCTTTTGATTGTAACTCCCATGTAACACATACATTTCCTCTCTTCAATTACTTTTAATCAATCTTTTGGCTATGTCTGAGACAGGTAGGATATGAACCCAGACCTTCGGGGGCACAGAGATAGGGAAGCTACCACTACACCACAAGACACCCCTCAATTTTAAATTTGAGTTGTAAATTAGGAATGAATTATGAGTGAACTGTTTCAATCTGCTTGTCTGATTTTACCTTCAGTTGTACATTGGACATTTGGAAAGTGCTGTTTTGTAAAACAAAAGACCTATGTTTGGTCTCCAGTGTAAAAGAAATCAACAAATTACACTGTCTGCTCTCCCTCTTTCCATTTAAACTGTGATTGTGCGTACTCATGGGACATATTAGTGAGCAGGATGGTGAACATTAATACATTAACCAATACTCCAGTAAGTGTAGTACACATAATTGAGTGCCTTGATTCAGGTTACATGGTCTAACTTCGTTATTATTGGAACAAGTGTCTAAACTGAGAAACAGGCCCCTTATTGTCACACATTGTAGCTGTCTTTGTAAGTTGAGATATTCATTGAAATGGCAACCACTGCTGAATTAACTATCAGTTTTATAAATATCAGCTTAGATCCAGCAGAATCTCAGCAAAAACGTAACTGTCTTAGCATCTGATTCACCAAATGCATTAACCAGCCAAATATTCTTTGTTCAGTTAAAACCTGCCAAACAACTGACCAAACAGAAACCAAGCAAACTCATAAAGTTTGAATGTTACCATTAGTCACTCAGATCTCATTGGAATAATCCCGGTATTTATATGTGTGAATCACCTATGGATCTGTATCACCATTTGTTGTAGTCAGCTCATACATATAAATAAGTGGTATATTAACATTGTTGATATTAAGTGTCTTTGCAGGAAGTACCTCACCTTATTATGTCTTAATTAAAAGATAGTCTCATTATCAGATGGATGGCAGTAGAACTAAATTAAATGACGCATGCATTTTGTACCCCAATTAAGACTGTAATTGAGGCACATTTATGAATGAACACATTTTCCGTAGATTGTATCACTCAAATGAAAACTGCAAAGCAATAAAGTACTTAAGGTCAAGTAGTCTACTGATCAGTTTGACTTTCAGCTTTGCACTTTTCCCACTGTCTTCTCGTTACTAATAGGCGCTCGTATCTGCGGTGGTTGGAGAGATCCACTGTCTGATCTTATTGTCTTGGGGCTAGGAATGTAGTTGAAAGGGGTCACTCGAGCCGCTCTGCTTGGAGAACCATGTCTACTTGAATTAAAATGCACATGTCCTGGGACAGTCGTATAGTTTTCAGTCTCAGCTGAAGTGGTCATATTGTTCCTCATCAGCATTATCATTTCAGGTTCCAGTTCATTCTCTGAATAGACCCTATATGCTGTCTCTGTATTCTTCCCTATAAATGATCTGCTCACAGCATTCCTCGGAATAGCCTGTGCAATGTGAGGGATTAGATCAAATGTTGGCGATGTGCTTGAATTTGTTTTGGTGATGGAGAAGTCTTCAGTTTGCACAAAAGCATCACTGGTTTTAGTTTCCACAGTTCCCACTTTGTTCAACTGCTGTTCAGACTCTGATTTATTCACCAATGCCATTGCTGAAGGTGGAAGAGAGTTGCTGAGAAAATAGGGAATGTCTTCATCTTTGATTCTTCTCCACGTTCCTTTCAAACTTGGCTGATTCTTTCTCATCTGTGGTTCTTTTTGGTTCGCAAGCTGTTGTTTAGTTCGAGGTTCTTCTTCACTTTTTGCCTTGTCGCTAGATTCTGATGAGGCTGAACGAATGGAGGATGGGCTTCCTGCCTGCTGTAATACATTAATGTGCGGAGAGGATGAGTAACGTTTAAAATTATCCTGTTTCCAGGTGGCGCTGTTTTTCACAGGGAGCCTTGAAGGGCTCTCTGAACTTGGCCTTCTTGAAAGCTTCTCAGTTCGGAGTCCATCCTCATTGCACATGGCTTTTCGTTGACTTATGTTCAGGTTGGATGTTGTTTTAACGACTCTTAACTCTTGGCATTGAGAAGAACTTACGAAGGCCTTCTGAAAATCTGACTTGCTTCTTCTCGGCGACACAGACTGAGACAGTGATGAGACTGATTCAGATGAAGAAGCTTCGGACTTCTGCCTCATGAGAAGGCTAGAGGACTCTTTGATAAAGGTCAGCTGTCGCACAAAGCTGGACTTATCAGATTCACTGCCACTTGATTTTGTTGATGACATTCTCACCAGGTCTAGCCTGTTTGGTGGTATCACCTTCTTAGAACCTTGACTCTTTTTTGGTCCAAAAGATTCGTTCCTTTGAAAAGAGGGCATCTTCTTTGCTGGAGTTACCTGTTTAGTTGGTGTCTGAATGTTTGGTGGTTGGACTGGAGATTTGCGAGACTGTTTCCCTGAGACTGGAGATTTGATATTTGGAGTAGATGGTGTGGAAGTTGCTTGAGGTCTTGGTTTCTGATCGAGCTTGTTGGCACTGGGTTTTGTTGCATGTGGAATCCCTTGCCTATTAGATTGTACAGATGGTGTACCATTCTTTGGAGGCTGTCTGGATGGTGTGGAATTCCTTGAAGGACCTCTTGCCATTCTTGCCGGTGGTGTCACGCTTCTTTTTGGTAAAGTACTGTCAACCTTTTCTGTCATATTTCCAGGCCTGTGCAAGCTTCTAGACCTAAACGTCTGGCTGGAATTTTGGGAAGCTGTGGTATTTTTAGGTGCTGCTTTCTTTGAAGCAGGAGTAGCATTTGCAGACTTTTTCCACATATCAGGCATGTAAATCACAGTCCTTCCTCGAAAGACCACAGGTAAGCTCACAGCCCGAGATGGTGGTTTAGGTGCATTTGAAAATTTATTGGCAACTGAAGCCTTACTTCCAGTCGCCTTATTATTTTCATTCTGCTTCCTTCCATCTTTAGAAGCACCTTCTGCACCCTCAACACTGCGTGTTTGCTCTTTCAGGATCTTTTTCTTATCTTTCTGCTCGAGAGTGAAATGCAGTGTCGATCCAATGGACAATCCTGATACAAATGATAGAATGGAGTCGGATTCAGAGGAGGGCTCTCTCGAAAGGCAGGCTGCAGCCTGGTGCAAGCTGGTGACTATTGAGTTGGCACCTTCCTGAATAGCTTTCCACTCGATACTTTCCAGATCAGGAGACATTAAATCTGACAGCGAGCCGTAAACATCTTGACTTGTATCCTTCCTGTGGTCCAGGTCATAAGTCATGTTCCTCCCAGTGTTGTTTTGCACATTACCCTTAAGGTTTTGCTTTGCAGACCTCTCACACTTTCGCTTTGAAGAATGTTTCCTCTTCTTTGGCATTGCTGAGCTGATGCATTTCTGCAAAAGATCATCTTCTGAATCATAGCTCAACGAACTGGGTGAACTATCCTGTCTTGCTGATAAGGATGAGCATCCATTATTAAAAGATTTTGAAGCCGTAGAGACCTGAGACTTTTTCCGCGATTTCACAAATGCTTTCCGTGTTTTCACAAGGGTGTCCTCTAATTCCATGTCGCTTAGTGAACTTAGTGATGAACTAAGGGAAAAGCAAAGAGGGCTTTCATCTGTTATATTTCGTTCAGTTTTACTAGCCAAACTGGTGGTTCGGAACTTTGTCATCCCTTTATTGTTCTGGTTTGGTTCATTCTTTGCTACTCCATTTTGGTTAATGACTTTTTCCTCATAGTCACTTTTTACTTCAGTTTTTGGATTCACTGTATCTTTTGCAACAGTAAGCATATCTAAAGAGTCGTTTTCATAAAAGCAGTAAACAGCTTCTTCAGTAGGTGTCGTGTGTCGCATAGATTGAAATGCATAGCTTCCATGAATATATTCTGCACAAGAAATGTCCATTCCTTGCTGTCCTTCTTCTGACCTCTTACAATTGCTCTTCTTTGTGTCCAACTCCAGCACATGTCTTGATGTAGTTTGATCCTTTCTTAAGCTTTTTGCAATCCCACCTGGTTGAAAAACATGGCCTTTCTGGCCTTGATATGACTGTGGTGGGAGGGAATTCTGATTTCTTTTCAGAACATCCCTCTGGTTCAGATTAAGCAAATGTGATTGAGCCACCAGCTTTGAATTATTTACATTTAAGTTGTATTTATTTCCTTGTTCAAGACTTCTGTCGTGCATCCTTACAGCTATAGGCACCTCTAAGTCATCAGCATTTTGCCCTTCTGCGGGGAGTAACTCCCTCCTCTCAATCACTTCAGCCTTAATGTTTGTCAATTTGGGTGATTCTTTTTGAGGATACTCTAAGGTCTCATCGCTTAGTGAAGCTGAACTAGAAAAATTGACCGGAGTTCCTTCAACAGAATCTGAGTATGAGGAATCTTCTTTGAAAGTGTCATTTTTTGAGCAGCTGTGCCCAGATGTCTCTACCTGAGAGTGAGCTGGCAGTAGCATATAAACAGGCAGCTGAAGAGGCTTCTTAGATTGCAGTACCTGAGTGGGCAAACTGGATATAGCAGAGGTTTTCACTTTCCTGAATTTGTTTGGCATTGCAGAATTGATGCATTCTTTCAGGATCTCGATGTCATCATCAGAGTTTTCCAGGATGCTGTCCAGCTTATCAACTTTTTCCATTCCGTCTCCATTCCGTTCCTCTCTGAAGTCTTCTGCTTGTGCACGGCAATTAAAACAGCTCTTCTCTTGTAGGAGTGGCATTAACTTTAACTCAATATCCTTCTGAATATATGGCTCATGAAGGGTGAGGGCACTCAGACTTGAAGCACATGAAAAGTTTTCATTGGGTTTCTCTAAGGTGAAATACAGCATAGTGTCAATATCTGGAGGGAGGTGAAACCGTTCCTTAAAATCATTGATATCCATGTGTTTTTTCATGTCAGCATCCCAATGGTTATTGCCTTGACTGGCATCTTTGTCTCGTTGGTCAAGCAACGGTGTTTTACTTCGGCTGGGGGGCATGGTTTGACCAGGGCTGTCAGGCAAGTCACTGGGACTGATAGTACCACTAATCATTTCACTGCAAGGGTCACTTTGAATAGAGCTTACAATTGACGGGCTTTCAAAACTTCCAAGTGAACTGACTGAACTGCATCTACTTAAGACCAATGGGGTTTCTTGCAAATAATTTTCTGATGGACTTGATGGACTGGAATCCACATTTCTAGAAGATAACTTTTTCCTTATCAGAAACTTTTCATGCTTTGGGCAAGGTATTTCTATAGGTTGAGATGCACTGCTAAATGAATGATCCCTGGATTTGATCTGTATATCCTCCGAGGCAAAGGATTCATCGTTTATTGTCTTCTCAACGGGCAGTGGTGATTCTTTCTCTACACCAATGATTTCCAGAGAAGAGTCACTATCGACCTCATTTTCACTACCAATTTGGACATCTGATATGTTTTCTGCAGATGACAGGGATGAGAGTGAACTACATCTTGAGAAGCAAATTGGAGTGTCTTCCACACAGTAGGTTTGTAAAGTTTCCTGGTCATTGGAAATTGGTGTAGAAGTAGATGTGCTAGATACACCTGGATTTACATTTCTGCTACTCTGTGAATATCCAGAATGGACCCATGCTTGCTTTCTGCCACTCAAACTCTGAGGTGTCAGAGAAGCTCCTGGACTCGGGCTTTGACCGCTTCCCGTCATAACTGAAGCCACGTGGATCTTTTCATAAAAAGGTGAGAATCGTTTCTTACTTATTTCATCTGGCTTTCTTAGCCCCCAGGCTTCATTCAATGCAGTTTTAGATTCCCTGGAACTCAGTTGTCCATCGGGATCTTTTCCATCTCTCTGACTGTTCTCCCCATTCTTTAGATCTAAGTTGGTCGGCCTTTTCTGATAAATAAGATGCTCGCCTTTTGGGTCTGCAACTGAAGATTCCTTCGCGTGGCCTTTTGTGTCACATTTGCCAGCGTTATTAACACCGTCCAGACTATCACTTGACAAGTTTGTGTAGTCTGTTCTTGCACCCAAAAGCGTGTGCACTTTGCTACGATTTTCACGTTTGCCTGAATTAACAACATCAGTAGGATGACAGGGCGATGAAGACTTTGTCCTGGTTTCATTTAAGTCATCTAATGCACATTGCCAGTCAATGCATTGATCTTCAGAACTAAGACTGAAGCTGTCTTCAGAGGATGTGTGCATGTTAGACATATCTTCCACGATTTTGTCAATTCTGGCTACCGTTGTAGAGATCTGGTTTACCAACCTCTCTGCTGCGACAGATACATTATCAGTGGCAGGGTTGAATTTTTGAAGATTTCCGTCAAGATCTTTCTCTGATTCTGAGCATCTTCCACTACTACGACACCTGGACATGCCTTGTCCTTGAAGAAAGGAAGAGTTCAGGTACATGGAGAGCACACTTAAGCCTCCAGTTTCTAATCCAGTTGATATATTGGGACCCTCATCATCATCAAAGCAGCCAGAGTCAGAAGCATAGTCTTTGGCCAGGTTTTCAATGTGCCTGAGGGGTTTGTTGATATTGGGATGCTTGGGGCTAAGTTTTTCAATGCTGTCAAATGTCTCTGTTAAATGTTTAGCATCCAGTTCAGCTTCCAGAGCTTTCTGCTTCCTCATATATAGAGAAGGCATGCAAGAACCTGGGGACACCATGCTGGTGTCTTTGTACTTGGCTGGCCGGTTGGTCAAAAGGTTCCTCAGGGCAGCTGCACTCCCCATTGCTATCATCTTGTGTTTGGAATGAATCAGGTTCCTCAACATGCTGATGGCTCCTAGGTCCCACAGTAATTCCTGGTCTTTTGAACTGCGTGCTGAGAGATTCCACAAAGTTCCACAAGCATTGCTGACAATAGTCAAACTATGGGACTTCAGATGCTGCAACAAGGTCTGCAGGCAATTGTAGTCACGTAGAATTTGCCTAAAAGAGAAACAAGGCCATTAAGCAGAACAGGCACTTATCTTTTTAAATGGAGGAAGAAAAAGATCCAAACTTGAGGATTTTTCAAGGGTAGATTTGAGATTACAGGAATAATTGATATTATTTAAATATTGTGTATTAATCATCTGTGTATTCATAATTTGAAATTAATAAATATTGTACCATATATGAGACAAGATAGAATTAAAAAGAACTCACAGGGTTGTTATACAGTCATTCAGTTCTCAAGAAATTCCATCGATCTCCCTCCTTGTTTTGTTCCAGTTAGAAGTTAGCCACATATGTATCAACCCCATAACTATTCCACATTAAAAAATAACAAATATCTGGCCTGATAAAGGTCACTGAACGGAAAAATTAACTCCGTTTCCATCTCCACAGATGCTGCCAAATCTACACGGTATTTCCAGCATTTTGTTTTTATTTCAGATTTCTGACTGACTCCAGTTGGCCCAGACAGTTGTGAAAATCCATCAAATGTATACCTTTTTCTAACGAGGTAAATGCTGTACATTATCAGAATTCATGACAAAACATGCTCCTCTCACACTGGCATTAGAAATACAGTGATTGCAACTAATGAAACATGAGCGTCGAACCAAAGCAGCACCAACTCGCTATTTCTATAGCCTTCAGTATGTCTTTCACAACTTCAGGATGTCCTAAAGTATTTTACAGCCAAGTAAGTAATTTTGAAGTGGTCATTATGCCATGTAGGAAGTGCTAGAGCCAATTTACCCAGAGCAAGCTCCCATGGGCAGAAAATTAGCAGAATCAGTTTAGTTGTTTCTTTGTTAATAAGATGTTGAGAGATAAATACTGGCCAGGTCACCAGGAAGAACATAAGAAATCTGAACAATAGACCTTCCCCAGCCCCACGCCTCCTCTCTATTTATTTCAGAGCTCCCTATCCCCTCGCCCATTTCTGAAGAGGGGTCCCAAGCCGAAACGTCAGCTTTCCCGCTCCTCTGATGCTGCCTGGCTTGCTGTGTTCATCCAGCTCCCCACTGTGATATCTCCGACTCCAGCATTGGCAGTTCTTACTATCTCTGAACAACAGTAAGTCGTTTTGGCCTTTGTGCCCGTTGCACTATTTGATGAGATCATGGGTGAGCTTTTACTTCAACACCATCCTCTTCCACTATCTTCATACTCCTTGATATTTTCAATTTGTAGAATCTTATCAATCTAAGTGTTAAATAAAACAATTGAGCCTCCATAGCCCTTTGGGACAGAGAATTCCAAAGATTCATCACCTTCGTCCTTCATGCTGCAGACCTAAAAGGATTTCCCCTTATTCTGAGACTATGTCCCCTGGTCCCAGGCCTCCAGCCAGAGTAAATATCCTTCATGTATCCACCCTGTCAATCCCTGTAAGAGTTTGAGTATGTTTGAATGAGATCACCTCTTGTGCTTCTGAAGTCCAGAGAACATAAGCCTAGTCTGTATAATGTTTTTCAGAGGACAATCCCTCCACATCCCACAAGGGGAAACAACCTCTTCACATCTACTCTGTCCAGTCCTTAAGAATCTTGTATGCTTCAATAAGGTCACCTCTCATTCTTCTAAACTCCATTGAGTACAGGCCCATCTTACTCACCCTCTCCCCTGAGTCCCTCTATATCTGGTATCAGCCTAGTGAACCTTCTCTGAACTGCCTCCACTGTCAGTATAATGTTCCTTAGATAAGGAGGGCCAAAACTGTTCATGGTATTCCAACTATAATCTGATTAGTGCTGTGTATAGTTTTAGTAAGACCCTCCTTACTTTTATACTCCATTCCTTTTATTGCACTCCCTCCATTGTGAGTATACATTTCCTTGGATAAGGAGACCAAAACTTCAGGCAGCATTCCAAATGTGGGTTCAGCAAGGCTCTATATAATCTCAGTAAAATATCTTTGCTACCATATTCAATACCTCTTGTGGTAACAACCAGCGTGGTAGTTCTTTTCTTAAGTACTTGCTACGGCTGCACATTTACTACTGATAACTCATGAACAAGAACCCAGTCCCTTTGAAATTCAACAATTCCCATCTTCTCATTATTTATGAATGCCCTGTAGTTCTGTTTTTGCAACCTCACATTTCTCAACATTGTATTCCACTGGCTAAAGTTTTGCTTACTCACTTAGCCTCACTAAATTCCCCATCTTTGAAACTTCCTCACAACTCAGAAGTTTTGAGTTGTCTGAACACTTGGAAATATTACAGTAACTCCCACATCCAAATCATTGATATATATTGTGAATAACTGCAGCCCAAGTACTTAAAATGGTACACCATTATCCATAGGCTGCCAGCCTTAAAATGTCCCATTTATTCCTAGTGCTTGCTTTCTGTCCATTAACCAGTTCTTAATCCAAACCAGTATATTCGCTCTAATCCCATGTGCTCAAATTGCAATTCCCAAGAACTTCCCTGGTGTTCTTCAAAATACTATTAGGAATCTTTAAATTCCACCTGAGAGGGAAAAGAAGCCTTGCTTTAATGTGTCATCTGAGAAGTAGCCCCTCTGACAGTGCAGCACTCCCTCAATATTGCCTTGGTTTTGAGCTGGTCTTGAACATACGACTGTCTGACTCAGAGGCGAGAGGGCTGCCAACATACTTAGACAATGCTTGTGACTATTACTGAGTAACATTCTTTTAAAAGAAGTTATTAATTGCTGTACCTGTACTCCTCATTTGTTGCAATGAGACTGGAAACATTTCGCAAAATACCTCCTCCGCTCTCAATGATGGCAAGTGAATTGCTCTGACACTTGTAGGTCAGGGTTCCCACAAGGAAGACCAGTGCCCCTTCAACAGAGCAGATGGCCACCTTGTTCTCTGTGCTGTGAGCTGACAGGTTCCAAAGAGCACTCAGCAGGCTTTTCAGTGTCGACTCCTTGAGAGGAACACGAAAATGCAAAGCGATAAGATGAGTCTAGACATTCAATTCCCTTTATCTCATCCTATTGAAAAGACAGAACAACTGCAATCCCTTGATCACATCACTGTATAAGCTCTTGGATGAATGAGGTCCTTCTGGAGTTCTGCTCCCAATCTTCATATTCAATTTGTGAATAACTTATTCCTGGCTTCAGACCTAAGTTTAACTCCACGTTTAAAGAAGAGACTGACAGGTTTTTAATTAGCAATAGATTGAAGGGTTATGGAGAGCAGGCAGGAAAGTGGAGCTGAGATCAACCATGATTGTATCAAATGACACAGCAAGCTCAAGGGGCTGAATCACCTACTCCTGTCCCTAGTTCTAAAGTAATCCCTGCAGTGTAAAAGCAGGCCAATCAGCCCATCACGTCCACACCAACCCTCCAAAGAGTATTCCGTCTAGACACACCCTGTCCCTGTAACCCTGCATGGCTAATTCACCTAGTCTGCACATCCCTGGATGCTACGGGCAATTTAGCATGGCCAACCCATTTAAACTGCACATCTTTGGCCTGTGGGAGGAAACCAGAGGACCCAGAAGAAATCCACAGAGACACAGGGAGAATGTGCATGTTCCACACAGTCACCCAAGGGTGGATTGAACCTGGGTCCCTGAGACTGTGAGGTAGTGGTGCTAATCACTGAGCCACTGTGTCACCCATTTTGGGATGTCTAAGAAGGAAAGGATGTACACAATGAATGGTAGCATAGGGTGTACTCGGCACAAAGTGTATTCCCTAGTCTCATATTCAGGGTTTAACTCATGGGATTAGCTTTTCTATGTGATATAATCCTTTATTTACAATAATAACTTATATTTATATTGCAGCTTTCACATAATGAAGCATCACAAGGAGTTCACACGAGCTTTATGAAACAAAGAAGGGCACCAAATCACAAAAGGAGGCCAGGGGACCTGAAGAGATATCCTAAAGAGAACTGTGTTTTGTTCTATATTTTCTTGTTTGAATTTTGTTTCTTTTAGGAATGGACAACCTTAGTGGACTGAGAAAAGGCCAAGGCTGATCATATGATCAATTTTCTGAACCTTCTTCATTGTACAGACATTCCAGTCAAACCTGACACAAAAGCATCAATTTCCAGCGAACTCTGGACAAAGGAAAACATCAAGATCCATAATGTCAAAATGAGAGCTAGTGCGTTCACAATTACCTTGTCACCTCATGATGAATACTACAATGGGGAGGTAAAGCTACACTGTAAGTTTAATGTCCTTCCAATGTGCCGACCACGATGGGCCATCAGCACCTGCCTGAGTCCACATGACTGAAACCAGAACCAGCTGAATTGTGTAAACATCCAATTCGGAGATTTTAAGTCAGTTGCTGTTTGACTTCCAGAGAGAGTAAGACTCCAGGCTGAGTTGGCAACTACTGTCTTCAAGCTGCTGGCTGGAAAGAAGCCTACACTTCCCCTGCACCTTACTGGGCACTGCTTAGTTCTGAAGAAGAGTCATATCGGATTTGAAATCTTAATCTATTTCTCTCTCCACAGATGCTATCAGACCTACTGAGTTTATCCAGCACTTCCTGTTTTTATTTCAAATTTCCAGCACCTGCAGTGTTTTGATCATATTTACATTGTTAAGGGGAATTTTATGGGAGGAAGATGAGGGAATAGGGAGGAAATTCCAGATCTTGGCACCTGGGCAACTGAAGGCATGGTCAAAAATGGTAAAGCAATTATAATTGGGAATTCATTAAATTCTTTCTTCTTAATCTAAAGAGTGCAATTTGTTTAAACTATTCTCATAACTCGGCATTCTGCTGATCAAAAATGGATATAATACTCAATGTGCTGTTTCACCAGGTTTTTATATGATGTTGTCATAACTTACTCCAAATTATTCTTAAATAATTACCAATCTAAGTCAGTAAATTTTTCCACTGCTGTATAATTTCTTGATATCTTCATTGCTCAGTCTACTAGCAATCATAGATTTCTTTTAACCTCAAAGTTAGTTATTTCTACACCATCCATAGTGTATATATTTCCTTCCAGTACATATTTGTCTGATTATACACCTATCTACAATGTATTTAAAATATTATTTCACTGAATGAACATTTTTTATTTACAAATATTTGTTTCTTGTTATCTACTTTTTGTCATATTTATGTATAAACGTTTTTGTCAAAATTCCAAGCCAGTGTTTAACTTGTATGTAAACTTATCACATTGTAATTACACATTTTGACAATAGGACATAGCCACAGTTTTTGGCTACTCAAATTGTAAAGTGAAAGTATAATTAACTGTTCGTATCTGCACCCAGATTGCCAAACATTTTCAACATTAAATAATATAATTAGAGCATTACAACAAACTATACTTATATAGCATCCGAACATAATAAACTGTCCCAAGGGGTTTCATAGGACCATTACAGAGCAAAGTGAAACTGAGCCACATGGGCTGCTATTAGAACAGTTTGCCAAACCTCAGTCAAAGCAATAGGTTTTTAAGCAGTGTCTTTCAGGTGGAAAGCAACGTAAGGAGATAGAGAGGCTTAGGGAAGCAAATGCAGGGGTAAGGCCCGAGCTAGCTGAGACATGACCAACAATGGCAGAGTGATCGAAGTCGGGAGACACAATGCGCAAAAACTGGGTGAGGGTAAAGATCTCGGAGGGTTGTGAGACTAAATAAGATTTCACAGATAGGGGAGGATGAGACCTGAGAGGGATTTGAAAACAAAGATGAATATTTTAAAATTGATGTTTGACTGGGAACTAAAGGGATCCAAGGGGCAACCTTTTCAAGCATGTATGGAATGAATTGCCAGAGGAAGTGGTGGAGGCTGGTACAATTACAACATTTAAAAGGCATCTGGATGAGTATATGAATAGGAAAGGTTCAGAGCGATATGGGCCAAATGCTGACAAATGGGACTAGATTAATTTAGAATATCTGGTCAACATGGATGAGTTGGACAGAAGGGCCTGTTTCTGTGCAGTACAACTCTATGACTCTATAATGTGGGCCAGTGGGTGAGAGGGATTTGGTGCATGTCATGGCATGGACAGTAAAGTTCCGAGTTAGCATAAGTTAATGGATTTTATGTAAAAGCATGGACAATATGCACAATTTTTAAAGCTGGATGGTCAGGTCCACTCATCACCCAAGAAGGGTATTACATAGAACTCTACAGCACAGATACAGACCCTTTGGTCTCTGTTATTGTTTATACTGTACAAAAGCCTCCTCCTTTCACTTCATCCTATCAAATATATCAAGAGAATTTTAAGAGAGGAGAGGATGCTGCATGCAACATTACGATCAAATTGGATTGTGTCTTTCATTTACGGACACAATGTTATTCTTGACAGATTGTCAACCGGTCCCATTCTTTCTGCTCCCCTTGTATTGGCTACATTTTAGTAGTAATATTCTTCTCTTGATTCTTGGGTTAACCATGAATTGTGAGTCAGTTAGTCAAGAACACACCTTTTTGGCCTTCAGAGCACACTGCATCAATGCGCTTACACTTCTGACTTCCCGTAGAATCCTCTTGCTGTTGACATCAGCTCTCCATGAAAGATTCCTCAGAATGCTAGCCACAACCTGGAACATACAAGCATATTAAGGCCTGAACCAAGACAGCAAACCAGTCCTTAACTACATCTAGAAGGTGCTGGTTGGAAACTGTGGCACACAGTAGTATGTTCAGGTTCATGGTTGTTTCAGCTGCAACCTGATTTCCAGCTCAAGGACTAAAAACCAGTCTCATTCTCCAAGTCTTTCCCCACCAAGGCAACTAATGCACTGATCCAGGGCTCCTTTGAAAGCACATTCCAAACTAACAAGCTCTACCATCTAGAAGGACATGGACTGTGGATGGATGGGAGTACCAGCAACAACGAATGTCCCTACACCAAAAGAACTGCAGTGCTTCAGGGAGGAAGCTCACCATCACCTTCTCCAGGGGCAATTAGGGTTGGCAGCAAATGCTGGCCTTGCCAGTGATGCCCACATCTGATGAATGAATGAAGCAATACAATTATTTCAAGTTTGACAACCATATTATCAGACATACATATATTATTACTTCATTTCCACATTCATACATGCTCCAGACATTCATTAATGTGATACATTTCAATAACTCAGTTTCATTGTAAATAAGGGTAACACTATGAATGCCTCCCATGTATGCAAGAATAACCCTTGCCATTACTGAAATGATTCTGAATTCGTCCTGGTTGGAATCCACTGAGTGAACTTTTGAGTCTTGATGGCAGCAGGCAAGGAATGAGCGACCGCTGAATTTTGTGCCACCAACCAGTTCCCTGACTCCATCCTGCTCCTGTGCTATTTTCCCAGAGACTGGAGAAGGGTAGGGAGCACTCATTAATGGTCTTTTGTCAGAGGCTGACTGGAATATTCCTGGTCCCACTCTTGTGGAATAGTCAAAGTTGTTGAGTTTCTTATTATTTTTGTTTTCAGGCAGCAAAATATCTGCTCTCAGCATATATTTTATTTCTCTGTTTCTTTTCTTGCCCCATCACCATTCTTTTGGCTCTGTAGGACCAACTTTTCAATCATTCAATCTTTCCTGTCTTCCGCTCTATCACGAACATTCCTACCTTGTCTCATCCAGCCCTTGCTCAAAACCTCTTACATTTCTAACTTTTCCTGGCTGATTAAAGGCCACTGACCGAAAATGCTAGTTGTTTCTTTCCTCACAGATGTCACACAACCTGCCAAACATTTCCAGCATTTTCTGTTTAATTTTTGATTTCCAGAAACCCCCCTATTCTGCTTTGCAATTTGAAGCAAAATTTTTTTTACTTTAAAGTTGGCACCTCCGATTGGAAAAACTGAAGATTAGTATTTCTTTCTCAAGTTGTAAACTGTTTTATATATAAACAAGGGATATTATTAGGTAATAAGGTAGACAGGGTGGTTAAGAAGGCGCTTAGCATGCTTGCTTTCATTGTTCATACCACTGAGGTTTAGGAGTTGGGACATCATGGTGAGGTTGTACAGGTCATTAGTGAGGCCTCTTTCGGAGTTCTGCGTATGGTTCTGGTTGTCTTGCTTTTGGAAGGATATTATTAAATTGGAGAGGGTTCAGAAAAGATTTGCCGGAATGTTGCCAGGACTGGAGGGTTTGGGGAGAGGCTGGACAGGCTGGGACTTTTTTCACTGGAGGTTGAGGGGTGACCTTATAGAGGTTTATAAAATCATGAGGGGCACAGATAAGGTGAATAGCAAAGGTCTTTTTCCTAGGGTGGGGGTGTTCAAAACTAGGGATCATATTTCTAAGGGAAGAGAAGAAAGACTTAAACGGGTCCTGAAGGGCAACTTTTTCACACAGACGGTTCTTCAAATGTGGAATGAACTGCCAGAGGAAGTGGTAGATGCAGGTACAGTTACAATATTTAAAAGACATTTGAACAGGTACATGAATATGAACGGTTTAGAAGGATATGGGCCAAACAAAGGCAAGTGTAACTAGTTTAGTTTGGGAAATTTGGTTGGCATGGTTGAGTTGGACCAAGGGGTCTGTTTACCCGCTGTATGACTCTATGGCTCTACTTCCGTGAAATATTTTTGAATGATTATATTCCTTAAAACTTTTACCAAGTAGTGTGAGCTTACCTGCAACACAACATTTTACCTGATGCAGTAATGCTCATGTTATCTCTCGTAACATAACAAACTGGGTGTGGATATTGTGGTATTGAAGAATCCAACAGACATCGACACAACTATTGTATATTAACATTATATTCTTCAGGCACATAAGTGTCTTGACCAACCTTAAACTATTAGGTTACTCAGAGCAGCATGCTTCTAGTAGAATGCTATGGTTCAAGTGATCTAAGGTAAGATGGAGTATGAGACCTTTATGCATACGGGTCACATGCTATGATACAGTGATATGTCTCATAAAGACACACTGACACATTGACTGTGAAACAAAACACAACATCCCACATTTTCCAAAGATTAAAGGATATACAATATGGTTTACATAAGCGCAGAGTTGTCAATTTGATAATTACACAAACAGGTAAACAGAGTCGAGAAGATTAACATTTCAAACTTGAATGTCGTACTTTGAAGATTTGACAACTTGTCCCAATCTGCTGATTTTGCATCTGGAAAACAGTGTGTTATTCTCTGCTTCATTTGTTTGACAACCTGTTAGTCTTGCTGCTGGTTGCTGTCATTCAACATCACTGCACACAATCACCATCATCAAAATGTTCTTCAATTAGTTTTCCAAATATCTACCAGCAAGACTACTGGTATCTTTTATAGATGATCACTGCTGCTGCCATTGTGTGAATTTGACTCAAAACTGGTGCTTTATCCGATGCAGCAGTGCTTAGGGTACAGTCCAGAACATGTGAAATTGGACACAGATATCATGGTATTGAAGAATCCAACAGTTATTTACAGTTAATACAGCTAAGTATTATGTAAGGTCTTTACATTCTCCAGCCATATAAGTCTCTGGCCAAACATTAAGCTATTAGATTGCACAGAACATCATACTTCCATTAGAATACTATGCCTCATGTGATTCAAGTTAAGATGGAGTCTGAAATCTTTACATCCTCAGGTCACACGCTATGATAGAGTGATGATATCATGAGCATGTCTTGTAAAGGTATGCAGACACACTGAATGTGAGATGTATCACAACACAAAATATCTGCACAAAATGCTTTATAATTCACTAACCTGATGGATATCTTCACTTTCAGACTCTAACTGGGCCACAATACTTTGCATGCAGCCTTTTCTGGAACACAGTGTAGCCTGTAAGAAGAAAAAAGGCACAGAAAGATGAACAACTGAGCACATTTCACTTACTGAACAATCTGATTCTCTCCTTTCTAGATATTTCTGATCAAAACAAGGGTTCACACCTGTTATCAGCTGGCTTATGGGATATGGTGGTTCCAAAGAAAAGCTGAAAAAAATGATTCACTAAAGAAACATCTTAATTCAGCCTACTTTTAAATGGACTGGTTTTGTGATAAGAATTAGGTGGGCTGAATTAGCTGAGCTGAGCTGAGCCAAGTATCAGGGCATTATAATTGGAGTCCATGCCCTGATCTCGGAAAGAAGCGAGGACATGCAGCCAGGATTTCCATTCTGATGATATCAATTGGACCCTGTTGAAAACTTCAACAGCTGTGATACTGTCTAAGGTTTAATAAACTCTTGAAACACGCTACATACATTCACATGAGGAATGACCCTTCTGAAGTTCTGGGTGGTGCCAAAATCCAAGGAGCAATATCTTGACACGTATCAGCTTCACAAGGGAAGTTGAGAGAAAGGGACAAGAGATCCATGGACGAATAGAGCAGTCGTTAACCATTACCCTTGACCAGCTTGTTGCTACTGATCTATCAGTATCTTTTAGAAAAGGCTGTCCTTGACCTTGAAGATTGTGTTTCCAAAATGGATGTCACAGATTAGGTTATCAATTATTTACAGTGTATGCACATCAGTTACTAAACTTAAAAGATTGATCAACATATATTGACAAAATGTAAATGAATTTCATCCATTCTTCATCGACTAACAACCAAATGGATCTAAGAAAATGCTGTGTTGATGAAATTGACCTCTATTCTGTTCGCAGCAGCTTCTCATTAGCACTTCCTTTTATACTAATCTTAGTGTGAACATTGTAATGTAAAAATTGGGTATATTGGGAACTCCTACTGGACAGCACTAAGTAAATGATAACTTTCCTTCTACACTTCACCACATCACATATTAATTTCTGAAATTCAATAGTTATTATAAACATACACAAATTATGTTAATGTATTGATTTTCAGTAACGGTGAACCTTTCAAATTCACAGCAGCATAGAGAATATTATATTTACTTATAGGTACCATAACAGGAGAGTTAGGCAATATGCACTGAATTTGTACTGTTTACAAAGTGGAAGCAATCTATCAGCAGTTTAACTACCGATCATACATTGATAATTTGTTCTTGGTGGGGGAGGGGGGTGATTAAGTCATTAACACAGAACATGGAAGTATAGTAAACATGAAGGGGAATAGAATTATATTTCATGAGGATATAGACAGGCTGCTGGAATGGTGAACACATGACAGGTGAGATTCAGTTCCTTAATATAGTGTCCTTGGCTCAACCACCTTCAGCTACTTCGTTGATGACCTTTGCTCTGTCATCAAGTCAGAAGTGGGGACTTTCACTGATGATTGTACAATGTTCAATACCATTCATGTCTCCTCAGATACTGAACAGTCATGTAGCTTTGAAGCAAGACTGAGGCTTAGGCTGAGAAGAGACAAGTAATGTTTGCAAAATACAAGCGCCAGACAACACAGAATCTAATTAAGGGGATCCCCTAACATTCAATAACATTAACATCACTGAATCCCCCACTATGAACATTGTGGGGTTACCACTGACCAGAAACTGAACCAGATAAATACTGTAGTTCAACAGCACCTAAGTACAGTGAGTAACTCACAGCTGACTCCTAAAAGCCTTTCCATCATCTACAAGGCACAAGTCAGGACTATGATGGAATACACTCCATTTGTCTGGATAAGTGCAGCTTCAACATCACTGACGAAGCTTGTCACCATCCAGGACACAGTGGCCCAATTGATAGGCACTCCATCACCATTTCCAACATTCAATCTCTTCACCACTAATGCACAGAAGTAGCCGTGTGTAACATCTACATGATGTAATGTAGCAATTCACGAAGGTTCCTCCATTAGCACCTAGAGGAGGCAATGGCCTAGTGGTATTATCACTGGACTGTAAACCCAGAGACCCAGATAACATTCCGGGGACCCGGTTTTGAAACCCGCCACGGCAGATGGTGGAAATTGAATTGAATAAAAAAAATGTGGAATTGAGAATCTAATGATGACCATGAATCCACTATCAGGAAAAACCCATCTGGTTCACATATGTCCTTTAGGGAAGGAAACTGCCATCCTTACCTGGGCTACATGTGACTCCAGACCCACAGCAATGTGGTTGACTCTGGACTGCTCTCTGGGTAATCAGGGATGGACAATGAATGCTGCCTAGCCAGAGACACCCTCATCCCAATAATGAATAAAGGAAAAAAAAATCTTCCAAACGCACAATGTCTACCATCTAGAAGGACAAGGGCAGCATGGGAACTCCACCACCAAAGTTCCCCTCCAAGTTACACACCATCCTGATGAATTGAGCTCAAGAGCCGTGAAGTTATGCTCCAGCTATACAAAACCCTGGTTCGGCCACATCTGGAGTATTGTGTCCAGTTCTGGTCGCCTCATTACAGGAAAGATGTGGAAGCATTGGAAAAGGTGCAGAGGAGATTTACCAGCATGTTGCCTGGAATGGAGGGAAGGTCTTATGAGGAAAGGTTGAGAGAGCTAGGGCTTTTCTCTTTAGAACAACGAAGGATGAGAGGTGACTTGATAGAGGTGTACAAAACGGTCAGAGGTATAGATAGAGTGGACAGCCAGAGACTTTGTCCTAGGGTGGAGGTAGCTATTACGAGGGGGCGTAGTTTTAAAGTGAGTGGAGGTAGATATAGGGGAGATGTCAGAGGTAGGTTCTTTATTCAAAGAGTGGTAGGGGCGTGGAATGCATTGCCGGAGAGGGTAGTGGAGTCAGCCTCATTCGGGGCATTTAAGTGGCTATTAGATAGGCATATGGATGATAGTATAAGGTAGGGGTGGAGGTTAGATAGACCTTAGGTTTAGGGTAAAACTTCGGCACAACATTGTGGGCCGAAGGGCCTGTACTGTGCTGTACTGTTCTATGTTCTATCACTGTTCCTTCACTGTCACTGGATCAAAATCCTGGAACTCCCTTCCTAACACAGAATTATGGGTGCCCCCACACCTCAACAAGTGCAACAGATCAAGAAGGTTGTTCACCACCACCTTCTCTAGGGAAATTAGGGATGGGCAATAAATGCTGGCCTAGCTAAAGGTGATCACATCCCATCAAAATTTTTGTTTTAAAAATAGTAGCAAGGCGATTCAATTTGGTGGGGAGAATAGAGAAAGACGACACAAGTTGAATGGTGCAATGTTAAAGCCAATGCTAAAAAATTCTTGGGGATGTTTGCACACAAATTTTTGAAGGTAGCATGACAGGTTAATAAGGCAAACAATAAATCAGATGGGATCCTGAGCCTACATATCGAAGCAAGCCTTGCAAAACATAGGGGATTATGTTAAAACTCTCCCTTTGCCTGAGAAAAGAGCAATGTTCTCTCCAAGCCGCATGACTGTGGAGCCAGTGGGAAGTTCTGCACTTGTCAACACATTGTCATAGGAGCTTTCGGAAGCTGCTGTTTGTCATGGACCTTGAGGGTCTAGTGCAGGAAAATTAATAATTAGAGGGAATGCCGGATGGGAGAATTGTGTCCAATTATAGGTACCACACTTCAGGAAAGATGTGAAGCCTCTGGAAAAGGTACAAAAGAGATTTGCTAAAATAGTCTCGCAGATTTACAAGCACATTGATATACTTCGAGAGAGGCTCATCCTCTGTGGAACAGAAAAGGCTAAGAGGTGTTTTGGTTGAGTGCAATGAGTTAGGCAGGCTGAACAAAGAGAAACTGTTTCAATTTGTTCAAGTGTTGCGAACTAGATGATACAGATTTAAGTTGATTGAAAAAAGGAACCAAAGGCTACATGAGGGAGCTATTTTTTTCATGTAGAAATAGCTGGGATTTGGAATGCCTGATAGTGTTAGCTACACATTGAAAATGGGACCATGAAAATGGAACTAGACAAATACTTGAAAGAGAAAAAAGGTGCATGGACAGGCAGAAAGTACACAAATTTGTGGTTTGCTTTTTGTAGGCGTGATACAAACTGGATGGCCTACATGGTCTCTTTCTGTGCTGTACACTTCTGCCATGGTACCTAGGTTGTTGAATGTTGTTCCCCAGTGCATAGTCACAATACATGCCTCCAATATCCCACTTATGCATAAACATTGTGACATAGAACTAGAAGCATCATGAACACAGAGTTGGTGTGAATCTAACATGCTAACTTTTCAACATGCAAAACAAATTGCTGGCGAAACTCAGCAGATCTGGCAGAATCTGCAGAGAGAGAAACAGAGTTAATGTCTTGAGTCCTGTGATCTTTCTTCAGGCTAAGTGCTAAATCTCCACCCTTCATCCTTCGTAAGTGTCCTTTTGCCCAGTAATTTGTGGGCATGGGCGAGGTATGGTTACTCACTTTGTTGACGACGTCCCCAAAGGTGAGGTTAGTTAACGCCATGCCTGCATAACGACGCAGGGCTGAATTCAGAGGATCATTGGTAGGTCCATACATGTCACAGTCAACCTGAAGCAGCTCAGCAACTGCCTGCAAACCTCCTGCATCAAAAATGGGAAGAGAATAAATGCTGTGAGCCCTCCAAAAGTCTTAGTAATCAGAACAGAAAATGTTTGAAATGCCCAGCAGGTCAGGCAACATGGAACCCCTACAAGTGCAGAAAGAGGCCATTCAGCCCACTATGTCTGCACCAACCCTCCAAACAGCATCCCACCCCATCACCGTAACCCTGCATTTCCCATCGCTAATCTATCCAGCCTGCATATCCCTTGACACTACAGACTATTTAGCATGTCCAATACACCTAACATCTCTGAGCTCACAGCAGAAACCCATGCAGACACAGGGAGAACAAACAAACTCAACATAGACAGACACCCAAGGCTGGAATCGAACTCAGGTTCCTGGCACTGTGAGGCGGCAGTGCAAACCACTGAGCCACCATAACATCTGTGGAGAGGGTAAGAGAAATAGAGTTAACTTTTCAGGTTAATCACTTCTCATCAGAACTGAATAAAGGTTAGAGGGCTGAAAATTATGGGTGGGGGCTCAGGGGCACACAGTGACCACTTAGAATCAGGCCCCTCAGCCAAAAGCACTACTGGTACATTTCCCAAACTCCTAGTGGGACATACATACCTGTGGGAGAAGGTCCCATCTTCAGGAGCTGCTGGCCAACAGCTCCAGCAGTCCAGGCAACCCCAGAGCTTTGGTGCAGATGTTGCCAAAAACTGCAGGTAGCCCCAGGAAGAAAGTCCCATGGATTCCAGAGGCAGCTGAGTCCTGCAATTTTCAGTGTTGGGGGACATGTTTCAGCACTTCAGTGAACAGAGCAAGTTGGGTCAAGTTCTGGATTTAATACATGCATGGGCCAGAAAGAAGAAGAGTGTGATGGTCTCAGGGAATGCCCCTTTAGGGCAAATAGCACACTCCAATGATAGCATGCCTCCCGCTTTCCCACTGTTTCAGACAGTTTGAAAAAGAAAACGGATTGCCCATTCCTGCCCGGCTACTTTTTGTATGCGCAACATGACAATCGGATCACTTGACCCTTAAATCATTTACTTACCATTTTGGCACCCACCCACCCTCTACTTGTTTGTAAGTGCAGGGGTGGGTGGGAAGGTAATGAGCCAGCCACCTTCCCTAAATTACAAGCCTCTCCACTCTAAACACCCTGGCAGGGGGCACATATTGTCCAGCCTAGGGAAGTAACAAGTGAGGTCTTGCGGAGTTAGTTATATTCCAGCAGATGAAATTGCTCCATGCTCTGTTTGAATTATAACTCTTGAAAATAAGAATGATTCCATTCTAGAACTTGTGACATCAGTGGCAATGAACACAATCAAATGAGTTGGAATTGGAATTTGCATTCGGATCTCCAAATGTTAACTACGGGTTCAAATTTCTTCATCAATTCCTCTTGAAGCAACAAATTTGTTTGAAATAGGAATTAGAATTTGACATTGAAATCTAGTAGATTCCTAATTACACTCCAGAAGCAATTACTTCAAAGGATTTACATCTAAAACCTCTTGAAGAAAAATCAGCAGCATAATTCTAATTGATGATTCACTGCTATAATGTTTTTTAGTTAGGTGTACAGACCAATAGGGTCCTGATAGCAAGACATATTTACGCTTGCAAGGCTTTTTGTTTTATTAACATTGACAGTGTTTCTCAAGAATAAAATCAGTTATGTTGGGTTGTCCACTTAAAATGAAACATTTTTTCCCCAAGTTAGTGTGGTGGAAGTTGATTCTATAAATAAATATTTATAGAGAGCTACGTAGATACTTGAGGATGAGGCACTTACAAGACTAAGAATGGGAAGTGGAGATACAAAACCAAGCATGACTGGTCTTCCTTAGCGCCAAGAGTACCACAACAGTCTAATGGCCTCATTCTGTAAGTAATGATTCTACAAAGCATCAGGTCTAGTAGCCAAATTGAAAAGAGACTTTTGCTGGCTGGTAAATTTAAGTGATTATTTGCATTTCAAGTCAAACCTATAACCAAGTTGAAATGAAATTCTGTTTTTTTGTCATTAAATGTACTATTCCTCCCATGATAAGGCAGTAGGAGATTTATACTCATGTCCTAAAATGCCCCTCTGAAGTAGAACAGAAGGAAATGTCAGGTTCCATTTCAGTTCAGTAAATCCAATATCAATCACATTGTTAAAGCAAAACTTGTTAGCTATTTGCTTCCCTCCTCCTCTGTAATCTTTCCACTACCCCACCACAACCACCACAGAGCCTGTGATTGCCATACTAGCTCAATCTGCAATTCTCATACCATTCCCTCTACCTCACTACATTTCTCATGACCTTCTCAAAACCTACATTGGTCATGTTGTCTCCTCAATGTATTTCTTAGTGTCCATCCTACCTTACATGAAGCATTTTGGGATGATCTGCTATATTAAGGGACAATGTAAGTACAATCTGTAATTACCACCAATAACACGTTTCTGGCCAGAACTATGGTCTATCCATAAGACTCTAGCCCGATATAACCTTCTTCTATCATGCTGTTCTGTGAATGTCTTAACAGGGATTTGGATGACTGAGCTCTTACTTGTACAGGTCTGTACATTTGTATAAGTTCAGGTCTTTTACATCTAACCCTCCCTTTGTAATGGCTTGTTCTTTGGAAATGCTCCAGAAAATTCAAGCTCTAATTCGCTACAACCAGCTAAAATTGAGAATTAATGGGAACATAGAGAAAAAGCCCAAATGACATTTATGAACAACTGCTACAACTTGCCAAGTTCATTCATGGCACGCCGGTATTCTTCATCAAAGGACAACTTCATGATTGCACACATCGCTTGACAGATCTGGGGCTCAATAGGCAGTGGCACTACAAGGGGAAAGAAGAATAGAAACACTTAGGTTCAACATTTAACAACAGCCGGTTATAGCTTCTGTCCCTATCTGTCTCTTTTATCTCCTTTTTTTTAACTTATTCATCCTTTGAGTGGCAGCAATTAACTCCTAGCTCAGCCAAGGGATTTATTGAGATGAGCTAGGCGATAACAGACTGAGGACCTTCAGCAGGGGAAGCTGGAGGAGGGAAAAGGGCTGACAAATTTATGCTGATAGGGTTAAAGGAAGTAGGCTGGGAGGAGACTTATGTGGAGCTTAGACACTGGCATAGATCAGAATTAGGTGCCTGATCACATCAGGCAGGTTGAATATTGACCTCCAAATCCCTCCAATATGCCGTTGGAATTTGGTCGGTGCTGGAGAGTCTCCTGGTCACTCAGAACCCCAGATGTGATAGCTGTAGCACAACAGCCTTTCTGCATTAAACAGCTCCATGCCTGGGTTCATGCCACAAGCCATACTCTATAACAAACATCCTCTTTGCTTCCAGGAACTAACAAAAGAGGGATAAGATAACGTGTTTCTGTGCTTTAAATTCCATAAAACCAGGAATCTTTTCGTTGGTATAACTTAATACAACATTGAAAAGTTCCTTCCCCTACAAGCTTATTCCTTTACAGAGTGCACCTTAGACTGAGTGTTATTGATCAGAAAATTGATCAAGTTATTTTTATTTGTTGCCGGAATGTGGGGACATGGGCAAGGTTGCATTAGTTATTCATCCTTAGTTGAGTTAAGAAGGTGTTGGTAGACTTTCTCCTGGCTCAATGACTTTACAACTGAGGATCCTATTAGGCTACTTCAGAGGCCACTAAGAGTCAACTATACAGTGCTGAAGGCACATATTTATATACATTTAACTAGGAGTTAAAAAAAACTGTGTTAGATATACCAGTGTCCCTGTTGACATAAGCCATTTTATGATTTGTGCTGCATGATGGCTATAAAGGTTTAAGGAATATAAGTGTTTGTTTTCAAAGTGGTTAGGCACTCAATTGAAATGTTTGTTTTTTATAAGAAATTATTTGAAGAAATTTCATTATATTGATTTTTTTGTACTGATGAGTGTGTTTTTAATTGTGACACCTTTAGTAACACACGACTTTATGTCAGCTTGGTTCCTGAGATTTGTCCATTGTGCATACTGGGTGTGTTTTCATGGAGTGCAAAGGGTAAAAGGTGCTAAGCGTGGATATAGGTTGACAAAAGTTTTTACAAAGTTGGAAAAGGGGTTATGAACAGCCATGGGGAAGAGTGGAGGGCACAGCTTTAAATTAGGAGTATTGGCCATTGGGCTTGGGTACAGGGGCATTGGGTGGCATTTGGACCAAAAAAGACCATGGGGAAGAGTAGAGATCATACGATGGCAACGGGGAATATGAGAGACCAATGATGGGTGGGTAGAGGAATATAGGGTGGGGAGATAAGGTGACATGGATTAGCATGGGCAGTGCGTTTGAGAGGGAGGGAATAGGAGGGTGAGGGCTGTTTTTGGTTTCATTAATATTTTTATTAGTCTTCCACGCAGAGTTAGTTCATAGAGCCAAGCCCTTGGTCCAGTTCACATCAGCAGCCAGCAACCTCTGCTCTCGTTCTGGGGTCACTCAGCCCAATTGCAAGGGACCAGCTCCACCCCAGGATGAAAGTCTGACCTCCTGGGCCAGGTTTTCCCAAAGTGGGTTTGTGGAAATGTCAGTGCCCTGTTGGGCATTATTTTCCTCACTTCAAGCATAAGGCCAATCAGTAAGTGATAGTTTGATTTGATTTACTATTGTCACATGTACCGAGATACAGTGAAAAGTCTTGTTCGGTGTGCTATCCAGACAAATCGTACCTTACATAAATACATCAGGGTAAAAAAACAGAATGAATATAGTGTTACAGCTACAGAGGAGGTGTAGAGAAAGATCGACTCTACTATATGAGGGGTCCATTCATAAGTCTGATAGCAGCTGGGAAGGAACTGTTCTTGAATCTGTTTGTACAAAGTTTTATATCTTCTGCCTGACAGAAGAGAGTGGGAGAGAGTATAACCAGGGTGGGAGGGGTCTTTGATTATGTTTGCTGCTTTCCTGAGGCAGTGAGAAGTATTGCTGTGGAGGAGCTAAAACTCTGCTGAGAGCAACCAAAAACAAACACAAGTAAAATTTCCAACTGAAATCAACAAATAACACATAGGGTCCATACTAGTCGAGGGGACAAAAGGTCAATTGTAACACCCCCGAAATGACACTTACAGTTGTTATATTCAACATCATTGCTTTGTCTGTTTGTGTCCAACCATTCCCAGCAAGTCTCGCAGTACAAGCGCACTTGTTCCAGCACATGCAGTACACGCATTTCTCTCTTGGCCTGCCCTTCATCGGGCTGGGAGTATATGATGTTGTGGAGGGCCGCACTGGCACGGGTTCGGGCCTCCTTGCTGTTGCTGGCGTTCCTGCTCGGTCCTGAGTCCCTCTCGCTGTCATGCAGGAGCTGAAGGAGCAGTGGGAGGCAGCCAGACTTGCGCATGGCCATGCAGCTGTCCTGGGAGCTGGACATGGCGAGTAACGTCCTTGACATGTCCTCCTTGTCACGGGTGGCCAGCATGGAAAGCAGCCAGAACACCATCTCCACCTGCAGACACAGAAATTCAGAAAGGCTTCATCTTCTCTCTCTTTTTTCAAATGTTATTTCGTCTTTATCCCATCTCAATTTTACAGGACTTGTACCAATTCTTAAAATAATTCCATCTGATTTTCCCCTCTATACTGAAGGCAGTCCTTCAAACTTGAGGGTGTTAAAATTTGCCCAAAGAGAAAAGGAAAATGTTGGAAACACTCAGCAGGCCAGGCAGCATCTGCAGAGAGAGAACAAGCCAACATTTCAGGTTGAAGAGCCTCCATCTACCTGCTCAATGCACACAGGGAGACATAACTACAGGCGTATTGTTGGATCTCTGTACATATAGAGCTAACCGGGGTCAGTTAGATCAGTCAGGTGGATAGCTGGTCTGAGATCCAGAGTGACACCAACAGTGTGGGTTCAATTCCTGAACTGGCTAAGTTCTCCACAAAGGTCCTGCCTTCACAACCTTCCCCCTCAACTGGGGGGTTCTCAGGTTTAATTTACCACCAGTTGTCTTGCTAATGAGAAATCTGCCCTCTGAGACCATGGCAACTTTACTACATACTGCTTTCTTGTCCAATAAGAAAGCAGCCCTCTGGGACTATGGCAATTTTATATATTAAAGTGGCCAGAGCCCAGACGACTGTGAGGCTTCACTCTCAGTAGGGAGACAACTGGTGATGGGTTTAACATGATGGTCATCAGGCCTTAGGCGAGGGGTGAGGTTGAGAAGGAGAGTACTTCATGGTAATGTCTTCTTTATAGGGGTCAGTTAACTCAGTTGCCTGGATGGCTGGTGAGTGATGCCAACAGTGTGGGTTCAATTTCCACATCGGCGTTATACAGGGCAGTTTTGAATCACAGAATCCCTACAGTGTGGAAACAGGCCCTTCGGCCCAACAAGTTCACACCGACCCTTGGAGCATCCCACCCAGACCCATCCCCCTGTAACCCATCCAAGCTACACATGACTGAACACTACGGGCAATTTAGCATGGCCAATTCACCTAACCTGCACATCTTTGGACTGTGGGAGGAAACCGGAGTACCCAGAGGAAACTCATGCAGACACGGTTGAGAAAGGGTCACTCATTGGTCAGTCCTTTGAGTATAGGAGTTGGGAAGCAATGTTGAGATTGTACAGGACATTGGTGAGGCATCTTCTGGAATATTGTGTCCCAGTCTGGTCGTCCAGTTATAGGAAGGATATTAGCAAGCTGGAGAGGGTTCAGAAGAGAGCTACCAGGTTGTTGTCAGGAATGTAAGGTTTGAGTTATAAAGAAAGGCTGGATAGACTGGAACTTTTTTCACTGGAATGTAGGAGGTTGAGAAGTGACCTTACAGAAGTTTATAAAATAATGAGGGGTATGGATAGAGCTAATTGTAGTTGTCTTTTCCCAAGGATGGGGGATTTCAAGACGAGGCAGCACATTTTTAAGGTGAGAGGAGAAAGATTTTAAAAAGATATGAGGGGCAAATTTTTTACATAGAGGGTGGGTTTGTGTGTAGAATGAACTTCCTGAAGAAGTGGTGGATGTGGGTACAATTTCAATGTTTAAAAGACATTTGGATAAGTAGATGAATAGGAAAGACTTGGAGGTATATGGGCCAGGAGCAGGCAGGTGGGACGAGTTTAGTTTGGGGTTATGTTTGGCCTGGACTGGTTGGACCGAAGGATCTGTTTCAATGCTGTTTGACTGTATGAATCTATGACCTGAAACATTATCTCTGATTTCTCTCCACAGATGCTGCCAGACCTGTTGAGCTTTTCCAGTAATTTCTGTTTTTGTTATAGAGGGCTGCATTGAATGTGGATGGAAGTCTTTATGTCTTATCTTAAATTTTTAAAATCTTATTCCAAACCTTTCTTAAATTATTACACTTACCTTACTGCCCAAGTTGTTCAATCCTTGAGGTAAATTATTCATTGCGCTCTCTGCACCTTGATCATTTGATTTTCCACAGCACTGCAAACACAGCAAATGATTGTCTTTTCAGAAAGAAATGTGACAGACTTTCTTTATTTAGATTCATAAAATGGAGCAGAATTAATTGGATGACCAAGTCCCACCTTTCTGGCAACATTTGAGATTTTGCTATTTAGGGTGTGATTTCTCCCCTTTCCAGAAGGCAAGAAGAAGGGGAAATAATAGGAAAATTGGCCCTGGAGAGAGAATTTCCCCGTCCTGCCCCCTCCCTAACGAATTGCTGGGCAAGAAGGTACATTGAAGGTTTGATGGTTGAAAGGTCAATTAATGACTACTTCAGGGCTTCAAACTTTCTGAGCCGCTGCCTCCATAGCGGGTGAGAAAGGTGGCTGTTTTCCTCACTGAGAAACCGTACCAATCTGCCTGCCAGGTTAGGAGGGGGAAGACTCAATGTGCACTAATTTGGGGAACATGAAGCAATGATGGGAAACAAGATGGTGGCCTCGGTGCTTCCTCTCTCCCTGCAACCTTCATCCCATGAGAAGAAATAACCAGACTTGACTGGATCACCTGAAGAGTCAACTTCGACTGGAAGACATTAATGACCAGAAATTGTTGCCCAGAGTGGCCAGCAACATCTGGAGACCCAGGACACTAGTGTTGAGGTCTTCGATAGGGTGCGGTACTCTGCCTCATTTGCCCTCTGTTAGTTCTTGGTAAGCTGGTTGGTGGGCCATCAGATGAGCGTTATCTTGATGATGACGGTGGAGTGTTAGGTGCCAAGTAACTTATTTGCCCCGCCCTTAGAAGGAATATGGGAGAATCTCACCATTAATTTCCTTAAATTGACAAGCCTCCTGTGGAACCCTGAAGATTTGTGTACTCTGTAGGTTTGAAGAGATCAGCAGTATTGTTTAAAGATTACACTAGGCTGTCCATTATACTATCCTTTCGTGTCCAATAGGCAATAAATCCCACCTTGCCATTAATTGCAGAAAAACAGCCACGGCTTGCCTATAGAGTCTTAGAGTCATAGAATCATACAGCACGGAAACAGACCCTTCAGTCCCGCCAGTCCACGGCGAATATAATGCCAAACTAAATTAGTCGCACCAGCCTGCGCTTTGCCCATATCCCTCCAAACATTTCTTATTCATGTACTTATCTAAATGTCTTTTAAGCATTGTAACTGTACCTGCATCCACCACTTCCTCTGAAAATTCATTCCACACACGAACCATTCTCTGTGTAAAGAAAATTGTCCCTCATGTCTGTTTTAAATCTTTCTCCTCCTACCTTAAAAATATGCCCCCTGGCCATGAAATCCCCCACCCTAGGGAAAAGACACCTGCCATTCACCTTATCTATACCGCTCATTAATCCCATACCCAAAACCGACAAAACTAGGGTAATATACAAAATACTCTGCGTGGACTGCGAGAAACACTACATAGGCCAAACCGGTAGAAAATTGACTGTACAGTTACATGAACACCAACTAGCCACCAGGAGACACGACCAATTCTCACTGGTCTCACTGACGAGGGACACGAATTCGACTGGGACAACACATCGATAATTGCACAAGCGAAACAGAGACACGCCAGGGAATTCCTGGAGGCCTGGTAGTCCAACCGGAACTCCATCAACAAACACATTGATTTAGACCCTGTGTACAAACCACTGAGAAACAGAACCAGAAATAATACCAAACACCTCAACAAACCGAGGCCCTGCACCTTGTTGTCTCATATAAATAACAAACAGGATAGAACACCAACGCTTCACCAGAGGCGCACTTACGATGTTACCTAGCAGGGTGATGAAATGTTTGCAATCAAACCCACTGTTTCGGCATGCACATCTACAACCTCATCCACAACCCAAGCTACACATCTTCTCGAAAACTTTATATACCCCTCATTATTTTATAAATCTCTATAAGGTCACTCCTCAACCTTCTATGCTCCAGTGGAAAACGTCCCAGCCTATCCAGGTTCTCTTTGTAACTCAACCCCTCCATTCCCGGCAACATCCTGGTAAATCTTTTCCGAACCCTCTCCAGCTTTATAATATCCTTCCAGAATACAGGTCAGCTCTGCTTAAAGCAAAACCAAGAAAACCAGACATAGGGGTTAGGGTGATGGTAGGGGTGCTGGGAAAGCTTTCTGTTTTGAAACTTTACAGCTTCTGGACTTAACATTGAGCTCAACGACTTCAAACCATAACAATGCCCTCCATTTTGTTTCCACTGCTGTGTTTCTCTGACGCTTTAAGCTTTTATTAACTTGAACAATATCATTTTGCAATTTTGCACTTCCACCAACATTGCCCATAATGCTATTATCTCTGTGTAATCCACAAATTTGGATATGTGGCTTTCATCATCCACATCATTAAACAAAACAGTAAATAGTTGAAGGCCCAACACAAATACAGGATGCCATTAGTCATATCCTATCAAATGCAGAAACTGCCCATCATTTCTGTCTGACTCCTTCTGCTCAGCGAATACCCTAAATAGATCAATAATTTTCCCTCAATTCCATATGGTTCACCTTTAGCTAACAATCTCATGCTGGGGTGGGGGAGTGGATTTAATCAACTGCATCTTTAAAGGGGGATTTAATCAACTGCCTTCTTAAAGTTTATAGATAATCAACATCTATAGACATTTCCCTCGTCAACTCCTCTTCAAGAACATTCAAACAGATTCATCAGGCATGACATAGCCTTTACAAATCCAGGCTGCTCTTTCTGATAGGCTGAACACTTTCAAGGTGGTTTAGTCACCTAATCCTTACCTAAAAACGTAGATAACAAGGTGTAGAGCTGGATGAACACAGCAGGCCAAGCAGCATCAGAGGAGCAGGAAAGCTGACGTTTCCGCTCTAGAAGAAGGGTCTAGTCCCGAAACGTCAGCTTTCCTGCTCCTCTGATGCTGCTTGGTCTGCTGTGTTCATCCAGCTCTACACCTTGTTATCTCAGATTCTCCAGCATCGGCAGTTCCTACTATCTCTCTAAAAACTGTAGAAACTTCCTAACAATATGTATCAGGCTAATCAGTCTATAATTCCTTAGTTTTCTTCTCAGCTTTAAATAGCAAGTGGTCAAAGATGTTGGTTTTAACAAGTATCTTACAGGAGGAGAAAGAGGCGGGGAGGGAATTTCAGAACCTTAATGTCTAAGTGGCATAGTTCCCAATGATGGAACAAAGGAAATGGGAGATACATGAGAGATCAAGATTGAAAAAATGTACAGTTGTTGGAGGGCATTTGTTTCTAATGTTATATAGAAAGACTATGCTAGTGTAAGTTTAAAAATTGCATGAATTCTGATGTTTTGCCTCTTAGGTCCATTCAAGATGCTAGTTGAAGCTTTCATTCACAGATCTCAGCACAGCACTTTACAGAGGAGTGTCAAGTGGAGCCAAAGTTTTTCTTTGCAAGAGAGGTAAAAATAATAGTCTACTAAGTCTTTTCAGGCCTCTCTCACAGGTCAATCTGCAATCAGTTATAAAAATACAGTTCTGGAGCTGGGGAGCAAGTCTGTTCCTAGATTAGAGAACAAAACTTTCTCGACCCGAAACGTCACCTTTCCTGCTCCTCTGATGCTGCTTGGCCTGCTGTGTTCATCCAGCTCTACACCGTGTTATCTCAGATTCTCCAGCATCGGCAGTTCCTACTATCTCTGTAAAAATTTTCAGTCTGTTGATTTGAGTTTTTCTATCCATTCTACAGCACTAGGGAGTTGTATGGATTAATGTTAGCTGTGATCCGACAAGCAATAACCTCTGCTAGAAACCCACAGTATCTCCTGAACAGCTATACTTAATAGGACTCCCATGGATCTATTTTTAAAATATATTCTCAAGTTAGATATATTTTTCCATTGACTAATTTAATAATGGGAAAACTGCTACGTAGGTTCAAGGGTCTCCCTCTGACAGATAAAACAGTATGACAGTCCATTCCTTGGATATTTGAACTACAAAGACTTGATGGTCTGAGCCATTCAGTCCCAGCGGCAAAATCAGTCAAAGAGATCCCCCTAACCTTTAAAACTCAGGAACAGACAATTTAGGCAATAAATTCAACGTACTCATTCAAATGAAGAGCAACAGAACATCATGTTTCACTTGATGACCATTTTTTCCACATAAAATTAATTGTTAATTTCTGTTTATTTGTTCATTTCTGATTTCCAAGGTAACAGTACCTGTCACAATGTAGAAACATACAGGATTATTTTATATAATTGAAGAATATTTCCAGCACAAAATGAGGTCATTCGGCCCATTGAGTCATTGGCAACACTCTGCAATGGCAGCTCAGCTACTCTCACTCACTGGCCTTTTCTGCATAATCCTGCAAATGATATTCTCACCAGATAATTCTCCAATTTTCTTTTGAAGGCTTTAACTGAATCAGCCTTCACTGCACTCTCAAACAGTGCATTCCAGATCCTAATCTCTCACAGTGTGAAAATTCTTTCCTCCTTCTGTTGCAGTTGCTTCTTTTGCCAGTCAACTTAAATTGATGTTAAAATTGAATCAGAGATAGTAGGAACTGCAGATGCTGGAGAATCCGAGACAACAAGGTGCAGGGCTGGATGAACACAGCAGGCCAAGCAGCAT